CCCCCGAGGCAAGAACTCGTCCAGGGATGGTAGCAGTGAGTTCTTCCATGCTTCCTTCGCGTCACTTTTGACAAAAACGACTTGATTCCCAATGGTCACGGGTTTTATGGAGAGGCGTTGGATAGGAGCCGCTGAAGGTTCCCATGTCGTGCAGTTAGTACTTGGGTGGGAGATTGAAGTATGGCGTTTTATGCGGTCCTTCAGAAGCAATGGGATCATACTAGAAAGATACGGAACCCCTAGACCTTAATTCTTAACTGATGCCTGAAAGAAAGCGACGCTGTTGTCTTTGGGGAGTAGTAGCCATTTTCGTATACTTGCCCGGACCAGCCTATCTATCGATATGAGGATCTGCCGGTGCACTACCGCTAACGAGAGGCAATGTGTATGACGCAGTAAAAGATAGATGCGCAAGATGTCCATGTGCTGATAGGGCTAGAAAGTCGATTGAGATGTTATTCGTAGATGTGCGCTGAGTGGATCTAGCGAGTTCGACGGGCGGTTACTCTTCCAAGCAAATAACAAATCAGGTAGCCGAGATTCCTCGGATGGCTGGACCCAGGAGATCTGGATGGCACCACAGGAAAACGGCGCGGTGTGCAAGATAAGAAAACATTTTTCTTTCGCTGTTGATGATCATATCCAGTACCACCGATTTTGTGCGGCTTATTGACAACCTAAATCGACAACACTAAATCGACCTAGGCGTTTGATCAGGGATTCTCTGTCGCGAGCAAATAGTACGGTATCATCTGCGTAAACGATATGGTTGATTGGACCTGCTGGGGAAATCCACTGTGTCAGACGGTATGTGTTATGCTTCTTCAAGAGCCATGATGAAAAACAGGGGAGAAAGTGAATCATCCTAACGGACTCCACGTCCTGAGTGAACCCTCAGACTGTCGATGACTGAGATTCTGAAGGTGTAATAAGACTTCAGGTAATGTAGAAGAAAAAAGACGGCACCGAAAGATGAGGCTGCACGAAGCAGCGAAGCGTGTGAGATAGAATTATAGGTTTTTGAAATGTCAAGGGAAGCAATGGATAAAGGGATACCGTGCAAGTGTGGATATTTTAGGGCAGCCTTCAAAGGGCAGTCTTCAAAGCAGTCATCTTTACGAAGAACACCGAACTGAAATGCTGGGAACGAATAAAATTCGATGAAGAAGACGCGTGTAGATTGCTTACGGAAATTAGGAAAGATCAGGAGTTTTTGGAATAAACGTTACAGGGGCCACGCTCATATGAGTTGGAGAAGGGGAACAGGCAAATAATCATGTTAAAAAGGACGTTTATCTTAGATCCATTCGACTGACGTCCTTCGATATGACGCGGTCTGCCGCGGGTGCAGAAGTCGGTTACCTCAATGGTTATGGGTTTTACGAGATCCCAGTTAATAGTGGCATAATTGTGTGGTGCTCGATTATCAGGTACTGAGGATTGAGAGAGCCCGTCCCTCCAGAATTCGTTTAAGCCCGTGATCACCTCTTTATTCGGCACGAATGCAGTCTTCCGATGACCATCGAGTACTGTCGCGGAAGCGTCTTTTCTTCACAAATGTTAAGGACGTTGTATGTGGCCGTACTGAAATCGACGACGAAGACGGTAGCTGGAGAATGCAAATGCCTGTTTGCGCTTAATGAGCCGCCATGTGTCAGGGATTAGGGTTGATCACACTCCGCATCACACTCCATTTACAAAACGAGTGCTTCACCATAGCCCTCTAATGCTAGGTAACTTTTGTTTAAGTCGTGAAAGACTGCGCGATACGGGAACCTGAGTTTCCAATAGTCACAGCTACGTAAGTTCATGCCTAAGGCCACAGGCACACAAACTACGCGAAGGAAGATGGGCAGAAAGGGGGAAACTTAGTCACCGCCTTTGAGGTTCACGATAAAAAAGGTTTGTGTGTGAATATCAACCGAATAACAGAAAAAAATAAAGTAAAAAACGCGCAAAAAACAGGGAATATGCGGAGGATGAATAGAACTGAGCAAGTAAATTAATATGGATTCAACCATATCTGGTGCAATATGAAACAAGCGTAAGGGTTAGGGACTCTAGCTCTGGACGGGACAACGAGTGTGAAATTGAAGAGGAATGGGGACATAGGGAAAACGTCACAAATCGTTATTGGCAGAAAAAGAAGAGGAAAACTTGCCGTAGACACTCACTCTTCATAGATATGAAGGTAAAGTGCGCGTAGAATGTTGGTATACTTCTCTGGAATCCCCGTTTTTCAGTAAGAAAAGCCACAAAACAGGTCGATCAACAGAGATGAATGGAGCCCATATGTCTGGGAGTACAACGATGGTGAGCCTGTGGTAAAGATGACGGTGCTCGAGGAGTTGGCGGAGCGTGAAAATTCGATCCACGCATCCACAGCCGGGACGCAAACGCGATAGTACGATCCACGTACTGGGGATAGTCTGCGATGCAGAATGGATGCAAATAGCTTAAAGGCAACCAAAACGGGACTAATCCATCGATGATTGACATATGAAGTGCGAGCGCCTTTTTTGGAAATCGGTACCATAAATGATTCGCCCCAAGAGGAAGGAACTTTATCTTCATGCCAGATTTTTGCGAACAAGGAGATCAGTTGACTAATACTTGCCACGCGGAAGTACCTGAACAGCTCAGGAGGAAGGACGTCTGAGTTTTGTATCGCTTTAAGCGTCGAACCTCCGTTCCGCTCGGTAGATCCAGGGTAGGCAAGGAGGCGCACTGCACAGATGGAGGGTAGAGACCAGAGGTCCCAGAGGTCCAAACACCTCTACTGTTTGGTGCTCAAAGATTCGCAGAAATGCTCATTGACATCAGGCATCCTGAGGCCAGTGGACCGAATGAGGTGGAAGACCTTGCAATTGTTACCTTAGAGGTCAGCGAAATAAATCTCGAAAGTACGGTAAGACCACCAAGCCTAGCGATCCTTGAGTAGGTTTTGTTTGAACAGGCGGTTAGCAGAGTGGCATTATTCATCGTTATCTGATTCTGCAGGGATATCTTTGTGGCGGTTGAACAGCTGCAGAGAGTGAGCAGAGATCCAAGCATTGAAAGGGCATCGGTCTTAGTGGCAGCATGATTGTCCTGAAGTGATAATCGTCAGGAGTAGCTGCAACTTCCGTATTTTCATGTTACCCCTTAGAATTTTAATAACCAGGAGATGTCTCAACACAAACAATTTAACGAATGAGATCGATGCGTCCTTGTTAATTTCTACGGATGAAGCAAATCGGTGAATGGGTATATGCCAATTAGCGGAAGCAAATTGTAGACAGATCCCACGCCCTTTAGTCGGCTGCTCAACAGACGTTCAAGGATAACAAATCTGAAGGAAATCGCAAAAGCGGCCGCTCGGACGTTCAGGAGGGTGAACGAAATAAATGGAACGGAAGTGTCCCCAATGCAAGCCAGAGTTCCTGAGTTTAGGCCAATTTTCAGAGAGGTATGAAAGAAGCAGACTTAGTGCTCATCATCATGATTATACACGGTAGCTAGAGGTGAAAAGCACCTCAGCTATTGTGCCGCAAAACATAAACGAAAATAAATCCAACAGTTGCATGCCACCTGAGCCACCAGCAAAGGATGGGCATCGTTCCGGTAAGCTACCAGCCGGCTACTAGGCAACAAGATTATGTAAAATTATATTACGCTACGAAATGAGATCGCTGTTGGAGGGAGAGGCTAAATGGGGAGGTAAAAGAAACTCACAGCAGGAACGCCACTGAGGTCGGCTCCTTGCCATGTCAGCAAGTGCATCTAGGCAAACGTGTTCATCGTTTTTCGGACACCAACCAGAGAGCCGTGAAGCTCCAACCGAGGCCCGCTCCGAAGTGAGGGCCTTCATTCCTCTCGACCAAGTCATCGGTTGGCCACCCCTCCTCTTCTTCCAACCACACCGGCGGTCAGCAAACGCACGTCACGGAAGTCAGTGGACTGGCATGCGCAACACGTGACCGAGCCATCGGAGCCTGGTGCGTGAAATGACATCATCATCATTATACACGTTAGCTGCAGGTGGAAAACACCTCAGCTATTGTGCCGCAATACAAACGATAAGAAGAAAAACAGTAGCACGCCGGTTGAGTCCCCAGTAACGGAAGGACATCGTTCCGGAAAGCTAACAGCTGGCTATCGTGCCGCAAAAAGTTATGTTATGCCTTACGAATGCGATCGTGATTGGAGGGGAGGCTAAGCAGCAGGGCGATGGACAAAGGAACTCACAACACAAGGCCACTGGGGACAGCTCCTAGCAATATCAGCAAGTGTGTTCAACCTAAAGTGTTCGCCGTCCTCAGGAATCCAGCCAGGCAGTCGGGATGCACAAACCGACGCCAACTTCGAAGTGAGGGTTTTCATCTCTCTCGACCAAGTCATCACTTGGCCTCCCCTCCTCCACTTCCAACCGCACCCACAACGCGCAAACAATGCACGTCGCGGAAGTCGGTGCGCAGGCATGCGCAACACCTGGCCCAGACGTCGGAGCCTGGTGCGTGATCTAATGATGCTAAGCGGTTCACTCGCTCTTACCACACCAAACACGCGACGCAGAACATGCTCATTGCTCACGCGGTGCTCCCACCAGACATGAGCTAAGCTGCGAAGGCAGCGACGATCGAATATGATGACCCCTTTAGGTCTGCCGACCTGATGAGCCAGGTTTCACAAAGATATAGGAGAGCTGAACGGACGGCTGCGTTAAGAACTCTGGCCTTCGGGGCGAGAGTAATGCTGCGTCTGCGCCGCAGGTGGCGGAGATTGGCAACAGCAACTCGAGCTTTTGCTATACGGTTCGAGCGTGAAATGACGGTGCTGAGCGGTTTATTTCCTTTTCATGTGCCGTAAACAAGGCGTCGAACACGCTCGTTGCTCACGCGGTGCTCCCACCAGATGTAAGCGAAACTGCGAAGCCACCAGTGGTCGAACGTAACTAGCCTCTTTATGTCGGTTGATCTAATGGGACAGGTTTCACAACTGTAAAATAAGGTCGAACGTACCGCTGCACTGTACATTCTACCTTTCAGAATGACAGTTATGTCGCGCAGCCACCATAAGCGACGAAGGTTAGAAAAAGCGCCTCGAGCTTTTGCTGTACGGTTCGTGATCTCATATTCAATTCCACGCGCGCTGATACAACTTCCCAGGTAGTTGAATTTTTGAACGACTTCTAGCTGATACTCACCAAGGGTCAGCATAGGAGGCGATCCCTGCTAATCTTGGAGGAAAGCTTTGCACTTCGATCGTGCAAAGCAAAGCCCGAAGTGACGGGCAGCCAGTTCTAATCTGTCCAGTGCAGATTGGCACGTCTGGAAGCTGTTACAGATGAGGGCAATGTCGTCTGCATACACCAAGTCAAGAAGTCGTTCTCTTGGGAGTAGCTCCACACCTTCTAAGTTGTGTGCTGTGAAGGCGATTTCTAGTACGTCGTTAATAGCGAAGTTGAAGAGGAAGGGTGATAGCGGGCATCCTTGTCTCACACCACTGGAGATATTGAAGAGCGGCGACAGCTTCCCGTAAGCCCTCACTCTGCACGTGAGGGCACACCCTTCCTGAGTAGATAGTTCCAAAGGGCACATCGATCAAACGAATCGAAGGCACCTTTGATGTCGAGGAACATGACTACGGTGCGCCGCCAATATGTGTGATGGTGCTCCAACAACTGACGAAAGGTGAAGATGTGGTCAATGCAGCCACGATCTCGACGAAACCCGGCTTGCTCTTCACGAATATGGCTTTCACGAGTGCCAGTCAGTCTGTGAAGGATGACAGAGGCGAGTAATTTGGAGGCGATGGGGATCAGACTGATTCCACTATGGCTGCCGCATTCCGTCGCAATCAGACTGGACCTTAACGTGGTGCGACGATTTGCGTACCTCATTGACCCATTGAGCTATACCGGGCGATGCCTCCAGGCACCTTGAGAGCTACTCCTACCAGGTTGGTCAATGGTGAGAGGTCAGAGAAACTCAGTCTCCTGGTTCCCCAGGTTGGTGGTTTGAAATGGGATGGCATCCATTTTTGTAGAACTAAATAATTGCCACATCCTCGCTGCCTTGCGGACAGGCTTTTGAGCCAAAGGCTTCGTGTTATGGCCCTAATCGTCCTCCTGTCTAGGTCTGGGCGCTCTGGCAGTACCTCAGCCAAAATACAACCATGACATCTTCTTCAAACATAAACTTCATCCTGCATCGGCCGTCGCGCAGTTTATCAAGGATCGCCTAATCTGCTGCACACAGCAGGGTGGATAAATGAAGACATGTTACTGTTGGTGCCTCCCTTCTCTCTTTTCCACCTTTTTCTCTTACTCCCATCCCGACCCCCATTACCAACCTTCCTTCTACAATTCCCAGCATAATTGGCAGCAACCGAAATGCCACTGGAGTAGAACCATCTGCAGCCGCCATCCCACAGCACCTATCGGACGCCTATCGGCAAAAGGTCCTCATAAGACCATGCTATCCCGTTTCCATGGCGACATTCAATGTCCGCACACTAAGACAAACAGGTCAACAGGCTGCACTCGCACACACCTTGGACACACTGGGTATTGATGTGTGCTGTGTGTCCGAAACTAGGATCAATGATCCTAACGGGGTTGTTGAATTAACTACACCCGGCTTATGCACTCGTTATTGGTCGCAGGCATCCGGAGACGTGGATGCAGCACTCACGGGTCAAGCTAGTGTAGGTATTCTAAGCTCGAAGACTGAGTCATCGTTGCTTGATTGGATTCCGGTGAACAGCCGCTAAGGTTGATTCACGAAGTAGTACAAAACGCTGTTTGTTTGTGATTTCCGCTTATGCTCCCATCAACCGCAGTTCAAAAAATATCAGGGACTCATTCTATCACGAACTGCACGCGCTATTATGCAGTGCTACTAGTTCAGATATTATGGCACTTTCAGAGGATATGAAAGCACAAGTAAAGCGTCTGAGCTCTTCAGAACCTCAGCTGGGTGGTAAATGTGGGCTTAACTTTGAACGGACTGACAACGGTGAGCGTCTGCTGCAACTGTGTGCGGAGCACCAGTTGTTTCTTTGTAGCACTGCTTTTAGACACAGTGGACGCCGAAGTGCCACTTGGCGTCCACCTGTAGCTGGCCAGCGATGGACCCAAATTGACCACATAGCCATAAGTTACAGATGGCGTGATTCCATCTTGGATTGCCACTCGTACTGGAGTACCTGTGTCGACTCTAATCATGCATTGGTACGCTGTCGCTTCTCCATGAACTTTACCGAGAGGCGCACCAAGTGTCCCCTACGATTGGCAACGGAAAATGTATCAATCTTCAGTCAGGCAAGCCTATCAAGAAGCACTGCATACGGAACGTTCGCTGTGTTGTCCTAATGACACTGAGCTTCAGTAGAATAGGAGCTCGGCCGCCATGCATGACGCAGTAGCAACTGCTTGCGGCAATATCCATCCTCACCGCACCAATCACTGGATATCGGAGAGATCGGTGGACCAGTTGGAAGCTAGAAGACACCTACCGGCTGGCTCTCAACACAATGTGACCAGACGGACTATTAGGCGTGAACTAAAGCGGAGGCTACGTGCTGACAAGGAAGCCTGGTGGGCCAGTCGGCCTCACGCAATGGAGGATGCAGGAGCAATAGGCAATTACCGGAAGCTCTTCCAGCTAATCCGCACCACTGGTCCCAGAAAAGCAGGCGCAAGTGAGACACAGCCAGCGCGAGTGCGTTGATACACAATAAGGAGCGCCGTATTGCTCGTTGGACGGAACACTTTCAAGATCAGTTCAGTTGGCCCCCTGCTCCCGGACCTTTTCCTACTCAGGTGATGCAGGACGAGCCATGGACGGTTAGTTTAGAGCCTCCGTCGGAGGCCGAGCACTCACAGTCTGTGT